AACCCTCGAAAACCTGTCAAATCCAATTACCTTATGAGAAGAAAGAAGCTCCAACGGGTGCTAGGCTAACTGACTCGAACAACTCAAATCCCCCTGTTCTATGAACCCCCCCTCCCTCCCTCCTTCCCCCGATCGCGAGCCACGACCCTTTTCCGCCGCGATCTGGCACCAAGAGAAGCATCGGGAACGCCTCTAACGGCTGGCGGATCCCCCTAGTCCAACGACTGGGATGGTTTACGGAATGCGCCCCTCCTCTCTAAAAAAATGGATTCTCTAGAGAGAGGGAGAGAGAGCAGAGAAAAAAACTAGGAAAGGCACTTGACGTTGAGATGGGCCTAAAGCAAGCGTGACTGTTTGTTTGCATGGGGGGAAGGAAGGGCTTCACACCCCCTCCCCCTCCCCCCCCCATCTCATCCTTATCCCATTTGGCCCATCCCCTACCCAGAAAATCCTCCAAACTCCAGTCCGAATTGCCCATCCATGGATCTTTTCTTCTTCGCCCGTTCGAACCCCCCCTGCCGAGCGAAACTTGGGATTTGCAACGGCTAGTGCACAAGTAAGGCAAGTGATACGCCCTGTTGGTTTGGGGCTCTTCTTCATTTCTCTTCTCTTTCTCTCTCCCTTCCTCCCCCCACTCCTCTGCTTCTTCCGCCCTCTTTCTTTTTTTTTCTTCTTTCGCGCTCCCTCCCTTGTTCCGGTATGGCGGACCTTGGGTGGCTGAGGGGAGAGGGAACCAACAGCATCGACATACTAGGTATTTCGACCTTGGCAGCTGGAAATTCCGAGTCCAAGTTTCTGGATGGACAGGAATGGTACATGCGTAGTAACCAGCTGAAGAGAGAAAAGGGGGGGCGTGTGGGATAGGAAAGGTGGGGGGGAGGAAGGCTACGAAGTTGAACTTGCCGAGGCACTTCAGAACACACAGGCCCCAAAAGAGAAGAATGTGAATATCTACGTAATAAAAGAGAATGAAAAGAGAATAAAAGAATGATCAAGTCTCCATCTTTTCTGGTGGTGCTCGCCGCTCGTATACATCGACCAAACGAAAGCCACAGCCCTGTGTATACTAAGGTAAGGTAGTAAAGCAGAAACATGGCTTTTTCCTCTTCTCTGTCATGGTGGAATGAAGAACATGTGCTACACACACGCACAACACACATAAACTTCCCCATGTTACGCAAGCTCTACCGGAAACAGGCACACACGCGCGGGTCCCAGCCATCTGGTTTGGTGTTGGTTACCCAGACAGAAAAGGCTTCGGGTCGAAGACGTTCCGCGGTCGGTAAAATTGAGGCGCTCTTCTCGGGAGGGGTGGTTGCTCCGGGATTCTGGGTTCGCCGCAACGGTTTTTTTTGCTGCTTGGGAAGGGGTCTTTGTTGATGTACCTTCCTTGCATGTGCCATGGTACTCTTCGTTTCTTGTCCAGTCAGTCAGGTAAGGAGAGTAACGCAGATGCCATTTCTCACAAGGTACAAGTCAAGTATAGGCCTCGCACGACCAAAATATAAAAAATCAAACCAGCCAGACATGAAAAAGAAAATCAAAAATAAAGAGAAATGCATTCATCTATCTCGTGGTGACAATGACGACGGTAACACTTGAACTCACAACATAAGTACCAGCACCAAGCACCACCACCCGCCGTCTCAATGACACACACACACACAAGTTCAAATGACATAAATACACCCCCCTAGGGGCGTCAGCGCAGTAAATCCCGAAATTTTTCGGACGCACCTTCCGAAGCCTCGCGCTGCTCAGCCCTTGGCGAGATCCGCTGCCGAAGGCGGGGCGCGGCGTGTGATTGGCCGCGGCGTGGGCGGGAGTTGAGCTTCCCGGGCGAGGGAAAATGAATGATGACAATGGCGAACAACGGCGTTCAGGTTAAGGTAGGAGCAGTGGGTAGCAGCAGTACGAGTACCTTAGACAGATTAGTAGAGCAGGCAAGGCCATACCTTGCAATTCGGTGAGAATTGCTGCAAGACAGAACGAAAGAAGGAGCGACATGGGCAGGAATACGATGCTTCCCCCCACCCTCGGATTTCGGTCCTTCTCGCTCTGGTGCCTGCAAATCGCCCAACTAACCGTTTTCTTTCAAAAATAGGCAAGATCTGAATCCTGAACGTTCAACACAACGATCCCGCCATCCTCTTGCCCTCCAATACATACCTCTCAAGTATGCATCTACATAGGTACTGATCCCAAGACCGTCTCTCTGTCTGTATCCCTCTCCTCTCCTCTCCCCTCCTCTCCTCTCACACTCTGTCGAATTCGTCTCCTCTCTGCCCGCTGGCAACTCATTCCCCTACTGTAGCAGTCCGGATGCCGGCGAGATAATCTAAGTGACACATCGTCCCCATCGAGACCGCAGTTCCAACCCCTGCCGCCCGCTGTTGGGCTCTTCCCACCCTCATCTTCCTCATCTTTAACCGGCCGGAATCTTGCCCGCCCTGCGCTATATATCCCGTTTCTCCATTCTCCATACAAGCACTACTGCTTGCCTTGTCTTGCCTGTATACGTGTTTACGAGGATACTACTACTACTAGCACCAAATATAAGGTGGCATGCCTACCTAAGGTAAGTGTTTCTGCCATGGTTACCCCTGATATAAGCGTCTTACGCGCTGAAGCTCTGGCCTCACTCTGCACCCTCCGCTGCCGCGGCTGCGAATACTCTTTTTTTCTCTTCCCCCTCTCTCCTCTACCCATGTCCAGCCTTCCTAGGGTATGCATACCTCAGGACCGTCGGCCTCGGGCCTCCGTTCCCCAAAACAAAAGCCGGATTGGCAGCCACCGGAAAACAAGAAAAAGCCAGTCAGCCCAACAACAATAACAAAGGACGGCGGGAGGGGGTGTAGATGGGAGGGGAAGATGAGGGGTGTCCTAGTAAGTTGGCACATCTGCAGCACTACTTTAATGAACGCCGAATGCTACCTTACATATGTTACCTGCTAGGTTACCGAGTGGTCATCGAAACGAAACAAGGCAAAAAGCAAGTAAGAAAACGGCAAAGGAACAAAGACCCGCCACTGGACATAGTACTGCCTCTCTTTCCTCCTCCTCCTCCTACCTACTATACACCCTCCAGACCCCTTTGCCCTTTCAGCTCCTCGCCTTTCGCTTTCGGGACCTTCTTAGGTTTAGCCTGCTATTGCTTTTTCTTCATCATCTGCTTCCATAACCAACGTCATCTATTCGTCGAGCCCTATTCCGATGCCTAGCTCTTAGGGCCCATCCGTCGTTCAGCTCTTTCACGAGCCAGGAGACAAAGAACCAACAGCAGAGCCAAAGAGCCAGTTCGCCCCAACTAACCAACCAAACCAACTTACATAGGCTCAGCCTCACCACGAAACAACTGCAGAACTAAATGGTAGGCAGAAGAAGAAAAAAGATGGGGGAAAAGATGACCACGACTATTGGGATGCACGTTGCGCGCTGCAATCCTTGCTTCGAGTCCTAGTCCGAACTCGAGGAGCGGGCGCTGGTCCAAGCACACAAGCATGCTCGTGGGTCTCTTTGTTTGTTCTTTCGTCTCTTCCCCCTTTCTTCGTCATCAACATGCTACTACACATAACATGCATCAGTAGTTCCCAGTCAGGAGTCCCAGGCACCCGGAGCTGCAGCCACCTGCATCCGCTGCCTCGTATTGACGAACTCGACGTCCCTCTTTCCCTTCTTCCTGCAAAGTTCCCTGTAGGACTACCTAGTAGGTTAGAAACTTTCAAAGTCTGGAACTCGACAAGGAATCGCTGCGTCTTCGCTTATCTAACCGCACCTTTTCGGAAGCCGGTAATTTGATCGCCGGCTGTCGCTGGAAGATTTCGCTACTAGTAGTAGTAGTACTACCAACTTGTAAAGGGGGGGGGGGGGGGGGGGGCTGCCCCAATCTGCCCGTTTTTATAGTCTCGGCCGCGGAATCCGAAACGGAGAGTCCGCGTTTTGCTTTGATATTTCTTACGACATATGAATAGCTTCTTATAGTGAGTACCCTAGGTTATTATAGTGCAATTACTATGATACTTGCATGGCTGAAGATGTGTGTAAGCCTTTTAAGCACGTGAGGTATAGATGGATAGAGCCAAGCGCGGTCCAGGGAGTATCTGATTAGAATGCTGTGCATGATCGGTGCTTGCTTTCTCCCAATAGCCTCATCTACTTGAAACCACCACACAGCAGACTTTGCCAATATCGATCCCTGATATCAAACATCATGAAAAATGGCACCAGAATCAGGTCATTGCAATATATATTACAGACAAGCTTTCTTTCCAAAACGCTGCATCAACTAGGGCTTATTACCGGCACTGGTGGGCAGAGACTTGATTCAGTTTTGATGGCCCCCCGACCCCTTTTTGCCAATTTTTCATCAGTGTTGTTTAAAACAACCCTCGACACCCCTAGCGATTTAGATCGGATCACACCAGCTCTTTGGGGCGTTGCGCGGAAAGAGAGAAACTCCACGACTTGGTAGTTGTTGAAATGTATATCAATTGGCTTACTTGTCTCTCCTCATCTAGACAGGAATATAGCTCCTACTTATGCTTTACAGTTGGTTGACCCTTGTGACCCATATGTACCAGTACTTCCTATGTACGATGCCCCTATTTTCAACAGTAGTATAATTTCTCACTTAAGACGGGCACCTTTACCTATACTCAGGGTTCCTTTGTTCTCTGTGAGTTTTTTTTTTATGCCCAGAGCGCCCTATCTTAAGCTTCCCCGAGGACGTTCGCCTCCATTAGTTCGACTTGTCAAGGGTTAAAGGCCCTATACGCACAAGTTATCGCATCTGCCGCCATATGACTTCGGGATGCGTATATCTATAAACTTCACACTTGTCATGAATATCGTCTAGCAAAGTCGTTTGGCTCTCCTGGTCAACTTCCGGCAAACCCCCTTCTAAGAGTGAATTAGACGTTCTATGCGCTCACCCCCTTATCTAAGAATCATTCCTAATAGTACAAACTTGACTTTACGTCCGCTGGAACTTATGTAAAGCCTCAAACGCGCTGAACGTATCCAGACTTGGCCACACTGTTGGCAAACAGCTCGCGGCACCTAACCTTGCTCTCCAGCCTCGCGCACAGCAGAAAGGCGCCGCTCAGCTTCCGGTGCAGGCTGTACGTCTCCTCCGGCGGCGGCGCCAGCCGCTCGTGCAGCATCACGGGGATGAGCGCCTTGACCCGCTCCGTGATGGTCTGGTCCTTGAAGTCGTACACCTCGGGCGCCGACGCGAGGAACGGCTCCGCCAGCGTGAGCACCGACTGCACGTGCGCGTCCAGCATCGTCCTGCTCTCGTGGCCCGTCAGGTAGCCCAGGCCCTCGGAGAACTTCTTGACGCCGTCCCGATCCGACCGGGACGCGGCCTCGAGGAGCTGCACGTACTGCGAGATGAACTCCTCCGGGTACTCCCGCGAGGCGCCAAAGTCCAGCAGCTCGAGCTTGTTCGTCTTGGCGTTGTAGAGGAAGTTGGTCCAGTTGGGGTCCGTCTGCATAAACTTGAACTCTGTAATCTCCCGCAGGCACAGTCGCAATATCTGCGTGCCGATCCAGTCGCGCTGCTCCTGGGTGAACGACTTGACGCGAGTTACGCCAACGCCGTCGAGGAAATCCATGGTCAAGACTTGCTTGCCAGATGCCTCCGGGTACACGTCAGGGGCCTCGAAGACGTCCTCTTCACCCCGGAGGAGCTCCTTGAAGCGCTTCGCGCATTCTGCCTCGCGCACGTAGTCGCACTCCCAGCCCAGCTCCAGTCTCGCATTGTCAATCGTCTTGTTCAGGTAGAGGCCCTTGGGGAGCAGCTTTGTGGCCGTCAGCAGAATGCCGAGATTGTCCAGATCAGAGTTGATGGAGTCGGCCACGCCGGGGAACTGGATCTTGACGGCCACTCGCTTCCCGTTCGACTTGAGCACCGCCTTGTGCACCTGACCGATGGACGCCGCGGCAATGGGTTTCTCTTCGAATTCGCTAAACAAGTCTCGCCAGTCAGAACCAAGGTTGCTGGCCAGAACCCGGTCCCGCTGCCACGCCGGCATGTAGTCTGCTCGGTCCTGAACCCGCTGCAGCACCTCCTGGATAGGGGCCGGCAGCATCTTGGAGTCCTGGAAGCTCATCATCTGCCCCAGCTTCAGGGCGGCACCCCTCATCCGGGACAGCTTTGCAACCAGTCTCTCCATGTTGCCGCCACTGAGCAGCACGGATCCTTCGCCGCCGCCTCCAAAGGCTCTGCTTACGCTTTCCGTCACAGCACCGCCTAGCATGCCAGCGGCCAGGCCACCGTAGTTGAGAATTCGGCTGAATCGGGTAGCTGGCACTTTGGATTCTCGGAGCTGGTAGCTGGGCACACTTGCGGGCGCTGTCTCGGGGATGAAGGCCTCCTTGACGGCTTCGACTGTTTCTGCATCCAGCTTGCCGGTGTCTAGTGGTGACTCCTTTTTGCCTTCTGTGGCCTCCGTTATAGACTCTGATGCCACCTGGGCTGCAGCCTCTTTTGTGGTATCCAGTGTAGCTTCTGATGTGACTTTGGGTCCAGTCTCTGGTGGAGCCTCTGATGCGTTTCCTGGTGTAGTCCGAGGTGTAGCATCCTGTAAAGATTCCAGTACAGCCTCAGCTTCAGACGCCTTCGTAATTCCTGGGGCCAGGGCGGAGGATCCCACAGACTCCGACCCCTCACGCTGCACAGATCCAGGCGCCGCAACATCGACGCCACCACTCCCAGACTCGGCCGCAGTATTCAAAGGCTCGGAAGGAGCAGTCTCAGCGGCATCCGCCTCAATCGGCGGAGGACGCGGCCAATACCGCAGAGGATGCTCCTTTCCCGGCCCGCCTCCCGCAGCCTCTCTCCGGCCCTTCGCCGGTCCCTGCTGTCTGCGTAAAGAGCCCAGTATCTGCGAGCCCCGCGCTGTGTGGAAGATGTTGATGTCAGCTCCCGGGGGCAGTCCCAGCTCTTCGCTAAGCTTGTCTCGATCCTGATCTCGAGCCGTAGAGGCAGAGGATGTCCTCGGCGCTTCCTCTATCCTTTGCCGCACAGAATCATCTCCCGATAAAGACGTCTGAAACACTGGCTGCTCACGGATCTTGAGATCCTCCACCTTCAGCCCTTCTGAAACTGGTGACGGGGATGAAGACGAAGCCACAGACTCGGACGTCTTCTCGCCAACGTCCCCCCTCGCCACGGCCTCACTCCCATGACCAGACCCATTCCGCCCTGGATCCCCCGCCTGCGTCGCACCACCGGCAGCTTTAGTCTTCCTCAACAGCGCCCCCACACTCGACGTCCTGCTGTAGACGTCCAGCTGCCGCCCCCGAAGAGCGACATGCTTGGATGCGACTGACCGAGAGGCATTGAGAACCGCCGCGAGGTCAATCGCAAAGTCCACAAACCCCATGTGGACTCGCCGAACCCGCGCGCAAAGAGAAAGAAGTGAGAAGAAAGGGAAATAGGGAAGCAGTAGTCGGAATGCCTCTGGTTCGGGATGATCTCGGCTCTGTGATATATGATATGGTGAGGGAAGCTCGTGAAAAGGCCGCCAAGTTTTAGCTCATGTCGTCAAATTATGCAGTTAAGCGGGGCGACGGAGCTGCATCTCACCAAGAGCAACGACGTACGAAGTATCAAGGTACCAAGTCGATGATTCATACCTTACAGTCCAGGACTGGCTCTGCATGCTTTTGAAGTCGCAAAGGCACTCAACAAGGTATCTCGTGATTTGGTTTAGATTTGATTATCCAGGTGTAATTGAATCTGCAACTAATGTATAGCAAACTGCCGACCGTCTAACGCGAGTCCTTCTAGTAAAAACCAGATAACCTCCTTCCCACTTTTCCTCCATCAGAAACGCCATGCTTATCCAACCTTATAATTAAACAAATTACAATGGAAGAAGGAAGAAGAAGAAGAAGAAGAAGAAGAAGAAGAAAGAAAGAAAAAGGCTAAATCAACTCTTCGCAATACTTCTCTTTCAAGGAACAGAGAACAGGAAAATAGGCAAGCGTCCGCATCATCAAGAGCATGCCATCAATCTGCTTTGGGTGGCACTCTGCTGACGCTCTTCAAAAGCGAGCCCTTGGGTTTCCTCGGAGTGGCCTGCCCAAACGAATCGGCTGCTTTCCCCTTCAAGGGAGTCGCCATCTTGCTCCATAGTCGTTGTGCGGCTGGCGTCAAGCCTCCTGATGCTCTTGGACCGCTGGTGAACCGTGGTGTCTCCATCGCACTCTCCTTGCCCGTGAATCCTCTGCGCAGAGAATCACTCTTGGACTTGGCGATGCGCTCCACCATTCGTTCATGAAGGAGCTCTCGCTTTCTCTGGTCTTGAATCTTGAAAGGGTTCGTCGCATCTCCAGGCCCCAGATTGATAGGCGCAGGCAGGGGTGCAGCATCGTCGCCATCCTCGTCATCCACGAAAGCGTAGCCGTTTACTCGAGGCGTTTCGCCGCCGCCGACAATGCTGGAATCGAGATCGGTCTGTCGCGGCTTGCCCGAAATAGCGTCGCGTATGGACGACATGGTCGGCGACGGTGGTCGCTGCGGGACGTGAGGCTGCGGCATCCTTGTGTTCTCGTAGCTAATTGCCCTTGGTGCCATCCGAGACTGCTCCTCCGCGCTCTGGGCGACCGTCTTGACGCCGTCCTCGAGGCCTTCCGGTTCAAACATCAAGCCATTCCTCGGAGCTGCGTTCCAAGAGTCTGGCCGTGCCGGCCGCTCTTCGACATCCCGGATGGCCAATAAATCTCTCTTGAACCCGTCATCAACCAGGCTCCGAGTCTTCTCCAGCCTGTCGGTGACCTCTTTCTGCTTTATCATCTGCTTTGAGGGCAGCTTGTTGCCGCGCCAGAGCCAGGCGTACTTATCGGCCCTCTTCTGGTTTTGCTTGTCAATCAGCTTATAAAAGCTCTCATTGTCCTCGCTAGTGTAGGTGGCCTGAAATGCTGACAGGCTCATATTGACGTCCAGCTTCGGCTTGTCCTGCGCGACGCTTGTTGCCATCGACGCTGGCGTATCGCCGACGAAACTGGTAGGCGTCTGGCTGCCATGTGTGGCGTTTATTGATGAGGCTGATCTGGTGGGTTTGCGGCCAGGTGTCATGACGTTTCGAAGCCTCCGACTGGCGCTTGATATCCAGGCGGCATCCTTGGACTCTATCGCATGGAGGTACTCCTGTTGAATCTGCGTCTCCAGAAGGCCGGGGAAGAAGTCTCTGGCGATGATCTGAGAGAGTGCCTCGGTGTATGCATCCTCCTCTAACACCTTCTTCGGTCTCTTGATCTTCTTTGCGGGAGGCGGAGGTGGCATCAGGTCAGTGTCTGTCCTCTTACGCACCAGGGCGTTTGAGGACCCGGCCGCGGAATCCATCGCCAGCCGCGTCAAGGCCAAGCACGAGGGCCTTTGTGCGACTGCAGTGTATTTCTAAGTTGAGGTGGGTCAAGGAACCCCCATTTATTGTTGGGCGAGAAGCTGGTCTGGTTTCGTGGGCGACGATGCGGAAAACCGCCGCGATGATGCAGGAGTTGAAGTTCGAAATGGGCGAACAAGGGCAGAGCCGCCTTGCAGCAACCTTAAAGTACCGTGCGGTTGGCGGTACTCCCGACTACTGCCGTCGCTACGGCAAGGCCCTTGTCACTTGCCCCCACTCGCCACCACTTGTACATTCATGCGCACTTTGAACTTGCACGTCATGCATCTATCCGATCCCCTTAGATCAATGGCCATCCATCAAACCGTTACAGAGGCCACAGGCTGGCCTTAGGGCTGGACGGTGGCTGGAACTCGCCTGCGACAGCGCTGGAGATGCAGTACCCACAGGGCACATGGCAGCGGTAACGGCGCCACATGCAGGCCCTACAGGGGGCGAGGGGCGCATCGAGGCCTGGAGGCTGCACTACGGCATTCGCCTTCTCCTCATTCCGACCTTGTTGGGCCCAATCCAGAACCCACTTCTGCTTCCCCAGTTCTTTATCGATTCTCATGGAAGCACGGCTTTGATTTGGGCTCTCTTGCGAAAAGTCCAACTCCAGCCATTTCTACCTCTCCCTCTTCAAACCCTGCGCCTGTAACGCTGGCCGGCCGACGACGACCAAGAGCCCATTCTTCTTGTATAGATCTATAGATTCTTCATCGCGAACCCCCTCATCTCATTCCCGAACCCTGCGAATCTTCCCCGCGAGGGCCTGGCGCACGCGATACCCCAAATTCTCCGGACCTCTATCCCAGTCTGCCCGCGTGCTCCAGTCCTGATCATCCGGCTTCACCATGTCGCAAACGGCTGTCGAATTCAAGAATCAAGGAAACAAGGCGTTTTCGGCGGGAGATTACCCTACGGCCATCACCTTCTACACCAAGGCCATCGAGGCAGATCCCACCGAGCCCACGTTCTTCACCAACAGAGCCCAAGTTTGTTCACCCGACACTGCCCCGGCTCGTTTTTGGTATTCTGGCTAACCGGCGTGTGACTTCTTCTTTCTCTAGGCGTACATCAAGACAGAAGCATATGGATATGCCATTGCCGACGCTGACAGGGCCCTCGAGCTCAATCCGAAGCTGGTCAAGGTAATCACGATATGCTACCCCAACAATTCACATGTGAAGAACCGGGAAGCTAACAAATGGACGTTGGTTATATAGGCATACTTCCGCCGAGGCCTCGCGCGCACGGCGATCCTGAGACCTAAGGAGGCCATCGAAGACTTTAAAGAATGCGTTCGGCTAGACCCCAACAACAAGGATGCGCGACTCAAGCTGGAGGAATGCAAGAAGATTGTGCGCCAATTGGCCTTCTTCGCAGCCATCGAAGTGGGCGATGAGCCCTCGGCTGCGGAAGGGCTCGACCTGGAACACATGGCCGTAGAGGACGGCTATGACGGAGTACGGCTTGGAGACGAGATGACCCAGGAGTTTATCGACGACATGACTGAGCGGTTCAAGAACGGCAAGCTCATTGCCAAGAAATACGTCTACCAGATTCTCATTGCCGTCAAGAAGATCGTGTACGAGGAGCCCACAATGGTGGAAGTGGACATTCCTGAAGGTGTCCAACTTACCGTCTGCGGCGACACTCACGGTAAGCAAAACACATTGAGCCGAGGACTTTGTTGTTGGCTATTGCAGGACGCTGACCCGTTCGATGCCGAATCTAGGCCAGTACTTTGATCTCATGGAACTGTTCCGGCGCAATGGCAGCCCGTCCGATAAGCATTGGTATCTGTTCAACGGCGATTTCGTCGATAGAGGGTCTTGGTCCACCGAGATTGCGTTATTGCTGTACGCCTACAAGTGGCTGCGGCCCAAGAACTTCTTCTTGAACAGAGGAAACCACGAGACGGACGACATGAACAAAGTATACGGCTTCGAGGGAGAATGCAAGGCCAAGTACAACGAAAGGTAGGTGACCCATGGATTTTGATGCCAGGCACTGATGTGTTTACGGCCGGCTGACACATTGCACAGGATATTCAGGCTGTTCTCCGAGAGCTTCTCCTCATTGGCCTTGGCGACGTTGATTGGATCCAAGTACCTGGTTCTCCACGGTGGCCTATTCTCCGATGATAAGGTCACGTTGGACGACATCCGCAAGCTTAACCGACACGCACAGCGCCAGCCCGGCCAGTCGGGCCTGATGATGGAGATGCTGTGGACCGACCCTCAAGACGAGCCCGGCCGAGGACCCAGCAAGCGAGGAGTCGGCATGCAATTCGGTCCAGACGTCACCAAGCGCTTCTGCGAAAACAATGGCCTGGAGGCCGTCATCCGAAGTCACGAGGTGCGCATGGATGGCTACGAAGTGCAGCACGATGGCAAATGCATCACAGGTATGTATCATGTCTGATTGGAAGATGATCTATCCGAATGTTCTACTTTCCCCACGGCAAAACTAACGAGACTCTCCTCTTCAGTCTTTTCCGCCCCGAGATATTGTGATTCAACCGAGAATAGGGGCGCTTACATCAACATCGGACCTGATTACAAGCTCAAGTTTGAGCAGTTCGATGCGGTACCGCACCCGAACATCCGGCCAATGGTGAGCTTTCCCCACGCTTGTCTCCCGTTGCTTTCCAAGACTGAATCCTAACATAATACACAGGCTTATGCCCAGAACTCCCTGATGTCGTCTCTCATGTAAGGCTTCAAAGCCGAGCAAAGGACGGGAGAGTAATGAAGTGAAAGAGCTCGAGGATGTGTCTCTGGCATCTAGTTGTCCAAAAGGGGTATCAAGATGAAAAACAGTAAAAACCTAAGAAATATAGCCATTTAGAGGCAGTACTTAGATATACCCCCGTGTAGATTAGGTATTTTAGGTTATGCAGCATCAATGCCTCAATTGTTCCACAGTTGATCTTGTCCGTGGCTCCCAGCCATTGCGCCAAGCCAGTCAGAGCACTGCTTGACCCGTAAGAGGAACTCGACGCCTCCGTCGCTGGAGCCCTTCCAGGCCGTAAGCGCGGCGGCAAAGGCCCCGAGATCCTCTCGAGGAACCCGGATCCAGCACTCGGCGGCCTCGACCTTGAGCACGTCAAGCGGGATCGCAGTGCCCGTCAGCCCAAGGAACTGGCGCAGAGCAGCCGTGCAGTACGACTTGACCTGGAGGTTGTCGAGCTCGACGGCGGCCTCGGGGGGGTTCGTCAGGAGCTCCAGGTGGACGTATGAGAAGGGCGGTGCTCTGATGGTGCACGTGAGGAGTTCGTGCGTTTTGGAGAGCCTCGGTTTATTATCGAGTGCTGTTGATCTTCGCGAGGCTGAGGCTGCTGTTTCTTGGGACATCTTTTGGAGGATGATTTGTGTTGCAATGGGTGTAGATTCTAAGAATAGGTTGTTCGGTATGGCAGCTGGTGAAGGGTGAAAATCCAGATTGCGTTTGTTGCATATCTTTGCGTTTAGATGCATCCTTGTGAGACGCAGCGTGTAAGTCTGAGGGGCGAAGGCCTTGACTTTGATGTTTTGCTATCTCACAAACGCTTCCCACTAGGCTATCTAATAAGTAGGCAAGATAAGGGACGTGAAGAGGAAATGTAAATTATACCGGTAATAAGGCCCAAAAGTGACTTCAACTTCAAAGCTCTTTTTCCTACGATGATTACACTTCCATAACCCAAACTGGAGACAAGCCTCAGGAAACTCGAGCTCCATGGATACAAGGCGGTACGTACCCACGCACTCGGAAGCAATTCCGCACTAGCGCCTTTCCGCCAAATGGATCCATCGACTTCCATTCCGTCTTCAACTTCAGCCTTGCCAAACTCACTCCATCCTCATCCTCTCTCTCTCTCTTCCCCAACATCCATCACACAACCATGTCCAACTTCGTCACCCCCGGCCAGCAGCGCTACCTGCGCGCCTGCATGGTCTGCTCCATCGTAATGACATACAGCGTTCGTCTCCCTACTCTCCCTCTCTCTCTCTTTCTCAATCCCCCCAAAGAAACGCGAACCCAAGTCCGCTAACCCCCCAACAGCGCTTCCGCGACGAAGGATGCCCCAACTGCGAAGAGTTCCTGCACCTCATCGGCTCGCAGGACCAGATCGAGAGCTGCACCTCCCAGGTCTTTGAGGGCCTCATCTCGCTCGCCAACCCCGCCAAGTCGTGGGTCGCCAAGTGGCAGCGCCTCGACGGCTACGTGCCCGGCCTCTACGCGATCAAGGTCTCGGGCCAGCTGCCCGACGAGATCCGGTCCTCACTGGAAGACGAGTATCGGATACAGTATATTCCGTACGTACTCGTATAGCGCATTGCGGACCTTTCTTTTGATTCGCCTTTGACGGGAGGGAGGCTGACATGTGATGACATTGCAGGAGAGATGGCACGCAGACCGACACGGATGCCTAAATCGAAGGGGCAAATTCAGCAATATGTGATTTGGCGTACAATGCGGGCGAACACGGCGTTTTGGAGATTGGAATCGAATATTGGAGGCCTGAAAGATTTTAATATGGATTGTTCTTGGGAAAAGGAGACAGAGATAGACTCTGATTACTCTTAGGCCCCCATGTTGTGTTTTGGCGTGAGTTACGCCAAGGCCTTATGGTATCTGTGCAAAATGCAAGCGTGCTGTAAATACATCCATTCTATATGCAATCCGCGACCGAGAAACGCCATACCAACCCATCATGAATGCACTCAGCGCCGTGTCTAATTCATCCTTTGCTTTTTGCCACCGGGCATCCCGAATCCGACGGAGCCGCTGGGCCTTTTCCTCTCCATCTCTTCCTTCATGATCCTCTCGGCCTCGCTCATCTTCTTAGGCTGCTGCAGTACAGAGCCCTTCTTCGATCCCGAAGCCAGCGCGTTCTTCTTGGCCAGCGCGAAGACATTCTTCGTCTGTGGCTTTTCGCCGAGCTTCAGAGACACTCCGCCAAATCCTGACTTGTTCGTGGCTGGTTTCGGAGGTTCCTCCTTAGAAACGGCTGCGTTTGTCTCCGCAGGCTTGTCGCCGTCTTCAGGCTTTTCGGGCTTATCCTGCGTAGATTTCGGCTTCGGCTCGTCTTCCGGCTTGGGCTTCGCCCCAAACGACAGTTTAATCTTTTCGCCCTCTTGCCTCTTCAGCTCCCTTCTTTTCGCCTCCTCCTCGTCTTCTTCATCGCGTTTCCCGGCCATCTGCTGGGCTCGTTTGATCTGCTCTCGTATCATGCGCTGCTCGATTTCCTCGTCGCCCTGATCTTGCGCTTCTTTTCTCCTCAGCGCCTCTTGTCGTCTGAGCGCGTCGGGGGAATTGTCGATCCAGCTTATGTGTAGTCCCTTTTCCGTCTCCTCCACTCGACATATTCCTTCCCTCCCCAGATACTTGGCGAACTCGGTCAACGACGGCCACTTGGTCGCGTTCATGTGGATGTGTTCCTTGTTGGCAATGTATTCTTGGTAGAACTGGTTCAGGTGCACCTGCTTCTCTCCATGCGCCGTCCTCAGCAGCTGCAAAAAGTCCTTGAGGAACTCGTCGCTGTATTGGTTGATGAACTTTTTGGGGTCCTCGCCGACGACGAGCATCTGTCGCACGTGGCTCTCGGACTGAGTGTGCATCTTGAAGCCGTTGGCGTCGCGGCATTGCTTCTCGCAGACTTGGCAGTACCACCGCAGGCGCTGGAGGCCTTTGGACTTGAGCTTGTTGCTCAGGTGTTTGGTCGAGCCGACCTCTGCTTTGGGCATCTTGTGTTGTTTTCCTTTTGAGGTGAAGCCGAATCGCGCAGTTGTTGCTGCAAGACGAGTATTTTCTTGGCGTAACCAGAAACCGACTGATCAAGTCGTTGCAGCAGCAGCCAAAATCGAGAGTGCGATGGAGGAGCAAGGCGTCGATGTTGCAATTGTCAGAGCCAAATCTGAGGCGCGACTCAGCCTTGCATGGGCGGAACCTTAATCTCTTATCGCCACCTTATCTGCTGCCGAGATTGATCCAGTGACATTACCTCAGCCTTATTACCTTGTCTTTTTAGCTTGGAACTGACAATTGGTACATTACCTCAGGTACTGTCGCTACATCAACGCCACTCCAACTTTCTTTCTCCATACCCTGACCAGCATATCTTGGCCCTTCAACTCCTCATCCCCATTCCCTCTTCGAACAGCGATATCCAGTCCCACAGTCCACAATGTCTGAGCGCAAAGTCCTCCAGAAATACTACCCCCCGGATTTCGATCCCAACGACATCAGCCGCCGTCGGGGACCCAAGCCCACGGGGCCGAGAATCCAAACCGTCCGACTCATGGCTCCCTTTTCCATGAAGTGCCTGAGCTGCGGCGAATACATCTACAAAGGCCGCAAATTCAACTCGCGCAAGGAAATCCGACCGGACGAGAAATATCTGGGCATTCAGATCCTCTTCTTCCACATCAAGTGCACGCGATGCAGCGCCGAGATCACCTTTCGCACGGATCCGCGAAACACAGACTACGCCATGGTCAAAGGCGCCATGCGTTCGTTCGAGCCGTGGCGAAATAAGGAGCTGGCTGAAGAGACGCTGGAGGAGAGGCTGGACAGGCTGGAGCGAGAGGAGGCCGAGGCCGCGGGCGAGGAAGAGAAGAACGCCATGGAAGATCTCGAGGCGAAGAATGCCGATGCTAGACGCGAAATGGCAGCAGCCGATGCGCTGGACGAGATTCGACAAAGGAATGCGAGGATACACCGATCGGAAAAGGAAGGGACGGATTTCGCAGACGTCATTATTCGTTCTGGAGACGAGGAACGGGAACGACAAGAAAGAGAAGATGAAGAAGCCGCCAAAAGAGCGTTCGCCGCAGCCGCTAAGCGGCTGAAGAACCCTAACTCAGAGAACTCTGGCGTTGTGGAGGAGATTGTTGAAGTGGCTGAGGTTTCTGCGCCGACGGGTGGTGAAAAGGCAACGGAGGCTTCAGCTTCTTCGGACACCAGTGCAGCGACGAGTTCCATGCCACCGCCGCCCCCTCCACCCTCTTTCAAGAGGGTTGTGAAGAAGAAGAAAGACCATGCCGCTTTGCTTGGTATCAAGAAGAAGCCCTCTTGAGTATAGCGACTGCCTCGAAAGGGCACAGGTTAGGGCAAATGTGGGTTTTTGAGCATACAAACTCTGGGATATGGATGGGATAGGGCAACTCTGATTTTTACATTGCGAACTGATGAGCAATGAAGGTTTACACAAGGCGCGCAGAGACATACTTGAGGTTCATAATAAAACACTACTTGACAATTCTCTTACTCAAAACAGTCACCTGGCTTCTACACAACTGGCTGGGACAGCTGGTTTTAGAGTTGAGCATGCACGATCGGCTTGAATTGGAAACTCAAACAGTTTCATTATGCATCGATAGCTGCTATTATCATTCATGTACGGTGGCTTTAACAGCCTGATATAGCCCAACCCCCTTCGCCTTTCCGGTTAACCGTGTATATACCAGAATACCAAAAAAAACCTTCAGACCCCAGCGAATGTATCTTCCATCCCAACCCCATCCAACGCCATGCGTGTATCATAGGAATTCGTTAAAAAGAGCAGTGAATTAAAGCGAGCGACGAACTAGCGAATGGCTCGAGTCGGCTCGTCATCGGAGTGACGCAACAAGTTGCTTTTCGGCTGTATATTGCAAAGTCCGTGTTTGTGGTGGAAAAAGATATGTGTCTATACTGGCATTGGTATATGCCGTGATAATGGTTCTGCTGCTGGGCTGTCCGGGCCGTACCACAGGAGTAGTTGGCTGCATTATGGTTGGCAAACTTGCTTGTGATGGCGAGTCAAGCGAATAGAAGCGCGCGGCAATCGAAAGACGCTCGAAATCAAATAGAAGAAACCGCTGGACATGACGCCCCCATTTTGCTTTTGGACACCCGCAGGATCGAACTCGGAACTACATCGTGGGAGCCGTTCCGTTCGTCATTGATGTGCCGACAGACGATCGGTTTCTTGAGCCAGAACTTGTCGATGACTGGCCGCCAAAGGCCTGCATCTGGCGTTTTGTATGGTCGTGGATGAAGCGGGAGTAGCTGGAGATGCTCTGCGGAGGAGGGGGAGATTGGGGCATGGAGACGTTGAAGTGGTCTTGTGAGCCTGGCATCATGGTTTAAAGTTGAAGTTTGAGTGTTGCTATGTAAGGTTGGTTGTTTGAGTTGAGTAGAGGTTGAGCGAGTTTGGATCGAGAGATTCAAGATGAATCAATAGTTGAGATTAAGGTTTTGAGTAGAGGTGTGGTTGGTGGAGTAGACGCGGAGGATAATCGTTAAAAAGGTAGTTGATGTCGAGTATGAACTGTTCGACAGGAGAAAATTGAGGTTGATATAGATACGAGTAAAAGGTGAGATGGGCAGGCAAGGCTGGAGCAGGGCGTCGATGACGTATTACAAGAGAATCAGATCTAGACAAGGCTGCGACAAAAGGAAGCACAGATGCTGTCGTGGCGAGGCAGAATGAGAAGGAGCGAGGCCCAGACGCGGATCTCAGGGTCTTTTTATAAATCTCACATCCAAGGCCCTCCACCCAATTCTCCCCCCTCATTCGACCTCCGAGAACCACCAGCGCCATGCATCTCGCCCGACTAGAAACAACGGCTCGAACCCCTACAGTGGCATGACGAGACAAGGGGTCTTGACAATCATCACCTCTTTGCTGCGTATTCTCCCCTTCTTTGCGTCTCTGCCCTAAAGACCCCATGCCTTCCACCCACCACACACGCACCACACACAGGACAAGCCCTCACCCCCTTCCACGCCCCTCCGCACGCCCAAACGGCCTCCCCAAACACCTCCAAGCAGACGAGCTGATCGGCATCTGGACGCATCAACCGACGGTAGCGCAGGTGAAAATGGCGTACGGAGTACAGCCTGCTAATAAGCGCTGCAGTAGCACAGTCGACATGGGCCTGTTCCCTGCTCGATGCTGCCCGTTGGCCACCCGCGAGGATGCTGATAATCGCCTCGCAATCCCCATCGGTCCTAGACGCCTCCACCGCCGCTCGCACTCCCTCCGCATGAGCTCAGCATCCTTTTGGGCCGGATGGGCTGCTGTTTCGCTCAGGGTCCTGCTAAGGCCCACGCCACCACAATCATAGTGGAGCGGCCCAGTGAGATGGGGATTGTCCCTCTGCATGCCACTGCGTACTGTCCTGTACGGTGGAGATGTGTGCAAAGACGCTCTTCCAAGTTCTGGGGGAGGACAGGCGAAAACGGTGGCCCCAGGGTGCAGCTACCGTACAGGACAGTACGGAAGGATCGTCTTGCAGCAGGCCTTGGAAAATGAGCAGAAACGGCCCAGGTTTGCCTGCCGGAAACCCCTGGCGGAATCGTCATGCTCGTCACGCGGATGTCGTGCCGCTTCGCTTTGCCCGCTTCGAAGGCCGTTTCGGGTGCGGATAGGCACTCTGCAGAATCTATTCCGTCCACGCACCCCAGCATCCTACCGTGACTACGCGAATCACCCTACTGTGGTGCCCATCTGCCAGGAATTGGAAATACGGTGACGTCTCAGCCAATTGGTTACTCGCGCATGCGAAGTATTACTTCGGTCCCCGCTCTCGTTGCTCATGACGGCTTGCGACTAGACGCTCCAATGATTCAACTCAAGGCGATGCGGTAATGGCACGACTAACACGCTACTTTTATCCAAGACAAGGTGCACCCATTGGCCGACAACCCGTACGCATCTTACCATAGTCGAATACTGCCACTATTACGGATAGACCCTGAGATATTCGAGGCCCTCTGTGGTACATACGCAGATTGACAGACCTGCAGCCAGACGTGCGACTTCCGGTACATTCACAGCATATCGTCGTCTGTACTGTCTTCTCACCTTGGTCTGGCATCCGTCAATGAGGGAAACCAGGGCTTTTGGCAATTTACACTGGGCTATTGGCCGAAATATCGAAGCAATATGCAGCTAGTTGTAGACGCTGTGCACGGCCGCGGATCCCCAGAAAATGAGGTGATGCGGACAGATACGATCAACATCTCAACTCCTTGGAACACCAATTGAGTGTTGCCGTTTTGCATGCTACGAGACTATCTATCTAGGAAGCTCGGCCGCATTGTCCCTAGCCAGGCCTAACATACATACGGTGCTCATTTGCCGTCCGTTTTGTGGTTAATCTCAACAAACTTCACGCATCGAGATCCGAACGGCGCCACTTCCGATTACACGGACATGACTCTTTTCGAAAAGAGTTCTTCGCGACCTTCACAAGGACCACAGCGGCAGAAGCCCAGATCCGCCTGCTCGCATCCGATTCCGCCTTCTCACATGGCCCGGCGCTCTCGCCGGATGAAGTCACAAAGGGCACAAGGAGGGCAACAGTACGGCGAGGGTCCTGTCTGCCATGGCAACCGTACTGTAGGTCCCGTGCCATCGAATCAGCAGTAGAAACCGGCTGGACGCTCAACTGAAGCCACCGTGCGTGATGTCATCCGCGACCCCACAGCGAGAAACGGTGACGGTGATGCAGGTGTGAAAACGCTGCTCGAACTGGGCGACGTTTTCGCCTCCTCCGTCACAAGCTCCACAGGGAAGTTCTCTCGACGGCATAACGGTACGCTTGGGGCAGCACATGGAGGGCTGCCCTCTCGTGAGGGTGTTTGCACTGGTCTTCATGATCGTCGAGCTTTCGGCCTTGCAGCCAGCCCCTGGTTACCTGCCTCGGCGGCCAGGACGAGCAAAACTGCCCAGTGCTCAGTTGACGCGAGCTTCTATCACTGTACACCTCACACGGTGTACGTACGAAATCCAAACGACGTCCGGATGCATGTTTGAATCATTGGGATCCACCTCGAGCAAGCCTCGAGCAAGCTTCAAGGTTCCTGCGTCACAGGCCCGAGATCGACGTGCTGACTCTTCGACATGGTTCCCTGTGCCAAGCAAACCAAGCTTTTGCCGACCATCGCATCATTTCCCCAAGCTTTGGATGGAGACTGGACTAACACTACTAGTACTAGTAGTTAATCCTTATTTTCAGTTGCTCTCATGAGGCTCACCTTGTTGCACGGCACCATCCGCGAGGTTTCGACGTCTGTGTGGATCGAGGCGTCTCTCCAGGCCAACCAGCGCTTCTCGATCCGACGCTTCCATGTGTCGTCTCCCAGATCTCGTGTGGCCATAACCGCGTATTTTATTCATCTACACCTACAAGGAGGTGATGATCCACCCCACGCCACCAACATGGACCCCTTTTCTCTTGACATCTGCGCTGCGTCTCGGTAAAGCACGACAGGTGAGTGAGCGGTTTGTTACTCCCTTCACTACTCTGGATTCAGCATACAGTTGGCACTTACATACAGGCGGCGATCATGGCCTCAACGAACCGCTCTGGCCCTCATGCCCCTGTTGTGCAAGAAAAGCTAGTATTGCCCCATCCGGAATACTAGATACGAACCATGCAACAGCATCAGTAACAATAGAATCGCCGGCATCATTCTGTGTCATCTTCAAGGTTGAGCTGTTGCCAACAAGACGGCGGATTTCCTGAGCAGCTGGAAACGAGGCCATTCCCAGCACAACAGCACCATGCAAATGATGCTTGTGGGGGGGTGCGATGAGTGAGGAGAATGCCATCCACGTCATGCTCGCATGGCCAAGTATGACGTTGCGCGACCCTGCTTTTTGCCCCCATTCAAGGCAAGTCTAGATACTATCTGTGAGCACCACACGAGGCTACGCCTGTCTTGTATCGAAGGCAGGAAGGGGTCCCTTCCAGAAGACGAGAAGTCTCATTTACCTTGGAACCTGCCTTGAGCTATTCATTGATTGCTATGATGAAACTGGCGTCCGAATCCTGGCCATCAACATACCTACCGTAAGTATCTATCGGTCGATGAAGACCGCTAGAGTTGCATCAGACTCGCATGGAGCGTCATATCCCCGGCTGTGACGAAGTGGCAACTCAACTGCGTCCTTTCTATCTGCAGCTTCTCATCAGGCTTATCGTGATACAGCATTACTTCTTACCCATTGGCGTTTGGTTCTAAAAGCCCTTGCAGGGAAGGGCCGCTTTTGGGGTTTTGGTCGACAGTCATCGACGTCCATTGACTTCAGACAAAGTGGAAGTTGACATGTCGACTTCCAGGTAAGCCCATGACATGCTTTGACCAGATCACAGATGCAAATGCAAGTCAGCGCTATGCTGGCAGGATGCAGCAGCAGCAACTTGCTTCTCGTCATCAAGGCGATCAAGTTAGGGGACCAATGACCTCAGGGGAGCCTTTAGTTTGAAGCCATCGCTAAAACTTCAATTCGAGCAAGTCAGCCTGTGACGCAAAAGCTGGGATAGGGGGCGAGGGATCTGCGATCCAAGCGGGCTTTTGCTTCTGCAAGCCTCTAAACTTAATTCCCTACGTTTGTTATTACTTGTATGAAGTTGCTGAGTCTCAAATCGGCGATGAAGGCTGCTTGTTGGTATCCATTCGTGGGAAAATTGCTTCTTCCAACTCCCAGCATTATCCGCGTTGGTGCTCAACCACGTAGACAACCCCAGATGGAATGGTAGGTGAAGAGAACCGGTAGTGCCTTGATACCCAGGAAATCCAAGAACAAGTACAAACATTACAGTGTCTGTTGTCATAACACATTACAGTACATGATGGACATGTGGGTAAACGGGCGCGGCACCCGCTCTAATGACGTCTCGACACCCTCTCCAGGTGAGCCAACTCCTTCTTCTCCTTGCCCGCCACCTTCTTGCGCTTGCGCTCGATCGCCCTGTCGACCTGCCCCTTGCTCATGCTTGCATACCTGTTGAGCAGCAGCTGCTTCTTCTGCTCGCTCTTGCGCAGGTAGAACGGCTGCTTGCCCTGCGCCACCAGCTCCTTCTCCTTCTTGCGGTGCTCCGCCAGCAGCCTTGCCTCCTCCTCCTTCTGCTGGCGGGCCTTCTTCTTGGACTCCATCGACAGCAGCTGCCGCTTCAGGTCCTCCTTGACGTAGGGGTCCTTGGTCTTCTTGATCTGCGCCCGCAGGTCCGCCATCTCCTTCTCGCGGTACTCGTCCAGGAAGGCGTAGTTCTTGGCGAACTTGGCCTCGTCGAGCTTCCCCGTCAGGGCGTCGAAGCGCGGGTCGCGGGCTTTGCGGCGGGGGTCGGGCAGGATCTCGCGGCGCCGGCTGACGGGCTTCTTGGACGTCATTTCCTGCGGCGCGTGCTTGGAGCTTCGCTTCGATGATGTGTCGATCCGACCCTTCTTCTTTTCCTCCCGTCTCAGCGTGTCTTTTGACGGGTGGGCTGCTGCTGGTGGTGCTTCGTCCTTGCCCTTGCCGGCTTCGGCGGCGGCCTTTTTCCGTTTCTTGTCGGGCGGTGGTAAACTGGCTGCTGCGCGAGCTAATGCGCCAAAGGAGATTGACGAGAAGTCTGTTTTCGGCTCATTGTCTTCCTCGGCCTCTTCTTCAGACTGTACAGAGCAATTTTCAGATTAGCAAATCGTAGAACCATTGTAGAAAATTGTTTGCCTGTTTGGAATATTTGCCATACTTCTGAGCCAGACTCTGCTTCGGAGTCTTGGTCCTCCTCATCATCGCTGTCGACTTCCTCTTTTGACACCTCTGAGCCCGACGCGTCGTTGCTGGCACTCAGTTCTGGCTCCTCCCAATCTTCTTCGCGCCGAGCTTTTACTCGGCGTTCGAGGAGCGAGGCGCCGAGCTTTCTTTTGGAAGACATTGTTGGGGGCTGGGGACGATGTCGAAGGAATGGTGGTTATGCCGATAACTAGATAACTTCACCATACGAACGATACTAAGCTGCAGCAATCTCATGCCAACAAATTATTTTTCTGGAGCCTATCTTATCGATAACGTGTCTTGGCCCGCTACATGGCCTTGGTCAATACGCTATGCAAGTAACCAGCATGCGTGTGGGGCCTATCGTCCAAAATTCCAATTCAACACCAAAATTCCCCATCGCCTCTGCTAGTAGCGGCACAAACAAAGCGCAATCCTCAGCAACTTTCCCAGCTTCGGTAAGGGTATGTCAAGTCGCGAAGCTCGAAGCAGCGCTTGATGTGGCGACGCACGATAGTCTCAAGGCCTGGCTGCTACTGCTACGTACGCGCCCTCCCAGCTACTCCTTTCCGAACGCATTCTTCTTCCAGCAAAGACGGGCAATTTCCTCCCCGCAATCTTCCCCCACGACAACCTCCTCCGTCCAAGGCGCCCTCGCCAAAGATCCGTGAGAACCCAGATCTTCTCCCGCCGCTCGCTTTACGCCCTGCGACCACGGCCAACTACCATTTTTTTGCAACAAGCGAGCAGGGAAGCAACAAGGGGCCCGGGAAAATGCAGCCCCAAAGCATACAAATCCCAGGGCTGACCCTGCTTAACAATCTGGCGTCTCCCCATGCGATTGCAGCGACCTCGGAAGGCGTCCTCGTCGGCGGCGCAACGGCGGCTCACCCTCCTCCTCAGCCAAAGCCCAAGGCGCCGTACGTGCCACCGCGAAAAGCCAAAAAGGAGAACAAGAAGGCAAAGGCGAGGAGAGCGCTGGCCGAGGCGGAGGCTGCCGCGAGTCGCTCGGCAAATGCGCCGGCTTCTGGTCCTGCGCCAGCTCCCGGCCAGTATGGGTACGTTAAGCTGTATTGCTCCTTTTTTCTCTCTATAACCTGATTCTAGAAGATGAGTTACTGATCGATCTCTGCCTGCAGCTTCCACCACTTCAATAACCCGAATAACTTTGGCCCCAACTTCACCTATCCCAACAACTTCGGCTCAAACTTCAACTATCCGAACAACTTCGGCTTCGACTTGATGAACAACTTTCACAACAATTTCTTCAACAACCTGACTCCGGATAATTTCACCGCCACACCTCCCTCCAACGCTCCCAGAAACCTCCCCCGAGACGAGCGCGTCGCCCCCAGCGCGGCATCCGGCGGCGTCCCGGAACCCACGCCCCTCTACATCAAGACCTCCCTCGCGCAGCCCGTCGCCCTCCGCCAGCCGCGCCGCATCCTCGTCATCATGGACCTCAACGGCACGCTGCTGTACCGCCCCAACAAGCGCAACCCGTTCAACTTCATCCAGCGCCCCCACGCGCGCCAGTTCCTCGACTACTGCGTCGACACCTTCCACGTCGCCATCTGGTCGTCGGCCCGCCCCGAAAACGTCGACAAGATGGTCTCGCAGCTGCTCTCCCCCGAGCAGCGCGCAAAGTGCGTCGTCATCTGGGGCCGCGACCGCTTCGGCCTCTCGCCCGCCGACTACTCGTCGCGCGTCCAGTGCTACAAGCGCCTGTCGAGCATCTGGAACGACCCCCAGGTCGCCGCCTCGCACCCTGCCGCCGCCCATGGCCAGCGCTGGGACCAGACTAACACGGTACTCGTCGACGACTCGGCCGAAAAGGGCCGCAGCGAGCCCTACAACATCCTCCAGCTGCCCGAGTTCGAGGGCCTCGCCAACGAGCCCCCCGACGTGCTGCCCCAGGTCCACGACTACCTGAACGCGCTCTGCTATCAGGCCAACATCAGCAGCTACATACGGCATCATCCTTTTGGAATCGACCCCAAGTATAGACTACCGCAGTCGCAGGAAGACAATGGCGTGGCATGATAGAGAGCAAGCCTCAAGTTTTGAGGCTTATGCCTTTTATATAGATTCGTACGCTCTCTGCAAGCATACTCCCTTTTGCCTGTCCAGAGCATACACCTTTCATAGTACTTTTCTAGATACCCCGCATTCTCGTCACGCAATAGACACACGAAGAATGAGCACGAACAGATAGACATGTTTTACGGCTTTGTATTTTGATTTGGTGCGGTGCTGAGCCCGCTGGCCTTGTACACACAAGACTGCTCAGGCATGGTGTATCATCATCATTCATTCCCTTCGAATCCCTATTTACCCAGAACCCATCATCACTTCATGGCTTGTAAATCGTCATCCCCTTCCACTGTGGTTCTTTATTTGAAGACCTTGCCGTCGGCGTGGGGGTACTCCTTGCCGTTGACAACGACGGGCTTGTCCCAAGACCACTGAGCCTCAACGTAGGCACGGTCCTCAGGCTTGCTGGGGTCGAGCTTGGTGAACTCGTAGCTCTCGTAGTCGGGAGCGACGTCGAAGACGGGCAGGTACTCCTGGCCGCGGATGACAAAGGCACCCTCAATGACGGAGTCGTCGTTGACTCCGTAGACGGAGGCGCAGCCGAAGAGGTACTTGCGAGAAGCCTCCAGACGGTTGTTGAAGCCGCCGATGAGGTTGTTGGACATGAAAGTCATGGTAAGCTCATCGTTGTACTTGTAGGCAACCTTCCACAGGGAGTACTCCTCAAAGTTCATGTTCTCCCAGAACCACTTGAGGGCAACGGGGGTGTCGTTGTTGGAGTACTGGCGCTTCCACTCGTCGAGGGGAATGGAGGCCTTGGGCAGGGCCTCGAGGGGGTGCTTGGGCTTGGGGGCAGCGACCTCCTCCTCCTCAGCGGCGGGCTTGGGAGCAGCAGCAGGCTTGGGGGCGGCGGCAGCCTTGGGCTGCTCAGCCTTCTTGGGAGCGGTGTTGGTGAGGACGGGGGTGTCGATGAAGGCAACCTTCTCAGCGACGGCAGTGTAGATGGGCTGGTTGACGATGGTCTCGTACCAGCGGGTGACAGCGGGGTGCTGCTGGCGCCACTGCTTGTCGAAGAACTTCTGGAAGCCGCGGTTGAGGAGGGGAGCGCTGAAGAGATCAGCCAGGGTGATGCGCTCGCCAACGAGGTAGGTGTGGTGGGTGAGGTGCTCCTCAACAGCGTCAAGAGCACGGCCAACCTCCTTGGCGGTGTCGTCGACGGTCTTCTTGTTGTAGGGAAGGACGCCAGTCAGGAGCTTGACCCAGGTGCCGATGTTGGTGGTGACCTCGGAGTTGAAGAAGGACATCCATCGCAGAATGGAAGCGTAGCTGGTCGTCTGTTAGACTTGTGGCATGATTGAATAGGTGTGAGAGATGTGCGACTTACTCCTGCTTGGTCTTGCCGAGAAGGGTGGTCTTCTCGTTCTGGGAGGTGACTGTATCACGGTGTTAGTAGAGTACCAAACACCTTGTGACTCAAGAAACTCGAGATTTGAAAAGTAAAGAAAGTGCAGGATCAGAAGTTGTCGTTATCAACACAGGAAAAGTTTTAAACAATTCTTTCAGACAGGGATAACTAAAATACAATCATCATGTTGCGAAGGCCGCGAAGAGCCAGGTCGCAGGGGAGGGGCTGAGGAAGACGTCAAAGATGGAGCAAGACACATACCGTAGATGGCAATAGCAATGCTCTCGCTCAGGGCAAAGCCATCCTCGCCGAGGAAGGCAGGGAACTTGCCCAGAGGGTGAGCCTTGAGGTGCTCAGCGGTGGGCTTGCCGGCCTCAACAAGGGAGATGTTCAGGTCGAGGCCGTTGGCCTTGGCGACGGCCTTGGTGGCGACGGCACGAGGCTGGTCCTGTACGACACGGAAAGGTGAGCAGGTTGAACTAGCGCAGAGCAGCGGGTTGAATGCAGAGGGAGACGAACGTTGGTGGTGAAGAGGGTTCCGAAGGCCATTTTGACTGATGTCGTGATGCTGGACAAGAGTGTTTGAGCTTGGGAGAAGAAGGGAAGAGAAGAAGAACGGGGCGATAGAGGAATTTTTTTTTTAATGAGGGGATGCAGTTGTGCCCCGCGGTGGCTGGTGAAGCAGCGTCAAGCAAGGACACGAGTGGGCTTTTGTGGCTAGTCCGTGGCTGGTATACTCGTACTACTACTATGTACTTGCACCAATCAGCTGCTCTTATCTGCACGTGATTCGCCGGCTCAATGCCGCAGGTTCAGCAGGCGAGGTTATCGTGGGGGAAAAGATTCAAGTTTCTGTGGTTCCAAGAGCGAAACGTCGCTGCTCGAATCAACCCTCGACCGACGCCCGGCAACAATGGCGACCATCGCAACCGGCCTGCGGCACGCAAGGTGCGCAGGCTCAACGGCCGCCGCTCAATGGCGGTCGGCAATGCTTGCGCGATCGAGCTTCCCACTCGCCATCCGCTCAATAACCAGCGACTCGCAAAAGACGACGTCTCCCAGCCTCGACGTTGAAGCCGCCGCGTCTGTTCCGATCCCGTACCAAGGCGTCACACATGCCCGAGTCGTGCCGGCAACGCCGTCATACTTTTCGCGAGAGCCTCAGTTCAACGACTTATACATCGGAATCTCCAAGCTGCTCACCAAGTACAACCACCTGCCCACGGTGCCTCCCAGCGAGGCGCCGCAGATGCCGTGGACGAAGCTGGAGGAGATGCGGGCACAGATGGGAGAGCCCATCAAGGCGTCACATTACGCAAAGGTCATGCGGGTGGCCAAGCGCCTGAACCTCATCGAGCCCAGCTTGCGGCCGCACGAGGTCAAGGTGGCCCTGACGGAGTTTACCAGAGACATCAACCCGTTCCTGAACATGCCCAACCCCATCACAATCGACAAATTCGGGCGAGCCGTCGGCGTGGGCAAGAGAAAGGAGTCAACGGCCCGCGCCTTTGTCGTGGAGGGCACTGGGGAGATTCTGGTCAACGGCAAGACGCTGAGCGAGGCGTTTGGCCGCGTGCACGACCGCGAAAGCGCAGTCTGGGCCCTCACTGCTACGGAAAGGCTGGACAAGTACAACGTTTGGGCCTTGGTTGAGGGAGGCGGCACGACAGGACAGGCCGAGGCAATCACACTGGCTGTTGCAAAGGCGCTGGTCGCTCACGAGCCGGCATTGAAAACGGCTCTACGAAGAGGTATGTTCCGTGACACTTTCCGGACTGTTCGGCTTGTTTATCTCCGCCTTCTTCTGTTCTTTCTTCTCTCTCGTTTTCGGCTTCCACAATGGTTGCTAACGCTGCATCTCCCGCATCTAGCTGGCTGCATCACGCGAGATCCCAGGACAGTGGAGAGAAAGAAGCATGGACATGTCAAGGCCCGGAAGATGCCTGCTTGGGTCAAGCGATAGAGGCTGCATGAGCCTGGATTTTCTGCGGCGTTTGGAAGCTCAAGTAGGCGAGATTACGCAGGATACCTGCTTGAGAGCAAGCCTCGGGGGGTGCTTATCCTGGATGCCGAGAGCGACATTGTACATCTACACGCAATTGTATTTATAGATCCCCAGACATTGCTGCTTTGGGGGCCGTTTGGGTTGATTTGGGCTCATGCTGGGAGCGTCAAATGTTATAATGAAGTATGACCGAATCCCAGTGTCTCGTAATCGCTGCAAGGCTGTGCGTAATAACACTGGGCAGAGCAACGGCATACCACTCTCTGCTTGGGCACATGTGCTCCTTTGTAAGCATGGACTCAGCTGTGTCTGATCCTTCTGCTGGTGTAAGCATCGTCAATGCCCAGCTTGGTACAATGTTGAAAAGGGATAAGAGACGTCATCGTATGCCCTCGTCTGACTCCCTTGCTGGAGCAAGTAAGCCTCAGCTAAGCAGTTCGACACCCAGCGATGCTGCCAAGGACGGTACTGAGACCCTGATGGAGAGGCGACGATGGACAACCCTACAACACAATGCAATTGCTGTCTTCTCGGGCCTCGGTACCATTACTTGGACCTCATACCTCCCTGGAATAACCGTGACAGTGGTGATGGTAGTGGTAGTAGTAGCAATCCTTTGGCTCAGGGTAGCATCTGATTCCGCCATGAATCATGCATGCAAGCCCAGGGTTGTGAGGCTGACCGGCCCGCTCCTGTGACATGCCGCTGCAGCAAGGAACATTCGGCGCCGTTACGAGTTGCCCATTCGTATTTGAAAATATTCTGCCCTTTCTTTTTTTTTTTCCCTTCTATGGCCGCAAGCTACACCTTGACAAACCGATGCCATTGTGCCCTTACCTACATGGCCATCAAGTACAGAGTTGCCTGTCCAGGGGCTCGGCAATCTCCAGGGTTGGCCACGCCTCTGTCGACACTACGAATGTATCGAATCTTACTTCCCCCAAGCCTTTGATGTTCAGTGGCTGCACGCTCAAGTATAAAGGATGAACCCCTGTCTTCCGGATCGGATCCGGTTCGAATTGCGCCCGATCCAGGACCCCTTAGCGAAAGATTGTATGACGCGAGAATAGTCGAAGCCACAGAGCCGGATATCCAAAGACTCAGCTCAAGCCTCCCGTCTTTGCTGGTCCTAGTCCGAAGCCTGATTATTTCCCGCGATCAATATGTCAATGACGTCGAATCAGATCCTGCCGTCAGCAAGGGAATAGGGCGGTCTCAGCCGCGCGAAGCCACTCTGTCTCTTTTCCGTGCCATGTATATTGTTGCCCAGATTTGTATATGGCCGGGTGCAGGGCAAGGGGGGGGAGGGTGAGGAGGGGGGGCGGCAGGATTATTAGGCGGCCAATAGAAGACGGCATCGTTTACAAAGGGGTGACGCAGGAGGGTTTCCTTTTCATCTGATACTGGCATTGGCCATGAAGGACGTCGCAATCAGTGTGATTCTTGCTCGCACTTCGGCTGTGTAGTATGTATGTAGTCACATCCGCTCGAGCGAAGTCAGCTTGCTTTTGATGGGCGCGGTGATTGATCCTCAGGGAGCCAAGTCAGGGTCGACAGACTCATACCGATGCTTCGCACGACGAGCAGAAAGCGCCAAGAAGTGGTATAATGATGAGCGGGAGTCGACAAGCGATTTGACGCCTGAGAGGCGGACGCTTGTTCCGTCTCTCTTCCCTGGATACTTTGGGTATCGAAGACAGGCCTCCCCGGCCTTATACAAAACCCGAAACTCTCGATGCAGGGGAGACGGCAATAAAGGACAGCTGGGGTAAAACACGACCAGGGGTCAAGTTTTGGTAGTAGTAGTAGTAGTAGTAGTAGTAGCAGTAGTAGTAGTAGTAGTAGTAGTAGTAGTAGTAGTAGTTTCTGCACAGGAGCAGCTGAAATGTCGGGCATCAGCCTGGAATTTACTTGGTACAGACATGGTGACGTGACAAGCCTGCACTAGGTAAGGTAATCTATAGTAGTACCTGGAAGTGCGCGTTAGCATTTGTAGGTTATTGCCAATATCTTCATCTCTCCAACTCCCTGCTTTGCCTTTACGACTGCCCGTATCTCCTTGCAGGGCTTCGATGCTTGCCCTGTCCTGCACCAACCCTTAATATAATATTCAATCGTGAGGCCAGACGAGAATGTTCGACCGTGCTACCCAGTTTTGCTACGTTGGTTGCGCCTCGAGTATGCCCGATCAGTTCGAGTCGTCTTCAATGGTACTCAGTATCCTCGTACTTCGTAGCAGCAGCAATACTCCGAATAGCTGATGGCAGTGTCACTGTGACTATTGCAACATTAACATGATACAGAGACATGAGGTAAAATGATGCAAGCGGAGTTCCTTCGGACAGTGAGACATCAGACCACCCTCTCAACTTTCCGACCAGAAGGGGCTCATGGTCATGCCTGTACAGGGACATGCGCCCTCAATCGCGATATCGTCCATTGATGATCTTTTTTTGGGCCTGACGAGAGCCTCGCTGATGATTCGTAGTCATGCTTCGTACAGAGACTGCTGCTGCCATGATCCTATTCTTAACCAAAACACCTGCTGCTGACACGCACTAATAGCAACGTACCTTGGTCGTGCCTTGTCGCAAGGCACTTCGAACTAAGTAAACATCGCCAGACTGATAGCTCCAGGCTCGAGTAATCCATCTTCGTCTCATTTCAGTAGTCCCTCGGTGGCTTCGCGCTTGCGTAGGTACCGTAGATGCCCATCCGCTCATTCTTCCTCCTCGCGAGATCTGCCAGCAGCTTGCCGAAAAGCTCCCGGCCTCCCTGATTTCCAGGCTTCGTCCTCCGAAATCCATTCTTAGTTGCCCACGCTACACCAAGCCAAGCCCATCTCCACACCCGCTCTTGAGCCTCCTAATGGCTGCTCGCCGATGGAGTCGCTGTGGACCGGAGCCGTTGGGTCACCTCTAGCACGGCCCTAGCGAGGTGCATTTTGCCTGTATTTGCCAGCTCCGGGCTCGCAGATTGGCTGCCGTCGCTGCGTCCGGGGATTTGCTTGCAGCAAGTTGCAGCATGGCCTGTCCATTGAAAAGGCTCCTTGGCTGTGGACTTTGACGCATGCTGCACATGGCCTCCCGCTCGGTGCCTCCACTCCGCGATCGAAATTCCTCCCAATCCCGCCGTCCTCCGTTCCTGGTGGTGCGCGGTGCCTGAATCGAGAGGAGACGGCGACCGTCGCATTGATGAGCTTGAAGATGGAGAAAGAGAGGAGAGACAGATTGTAAGGACAGTAAGATACCTAGTAAGATAGTAGATGAATGACGCAATAGTCTCAGTTTTGGAAAGTGCCTTCCTCATCTCTCTGCCGAGGGCAGGCGCCCAGATCGCGCTCCCTTTGTCTCTGATTACAGCTCGCTCCTGCCTTGCAACAGCCAGCAGCACTCACGTGCGCTTCACCGCTTGAGTCCCGCCTCGATCTAGGTATGGTAAGGTACTCCCTCTTCGATTCAAGTGCGTGATGGCATCAAGTCGGCCGGGTCAGCTACTACTGTAGGTATTTTACCTCTGCTGTGACTACCTAGTACCTAAGTAGGTGGTACCGGCTGGGTTATACGAAGCACAAGCGAGATGCAATATCTCGACGCCGCCCTCGAATTGAATTCCAAATCGTCCAGGCTCTTCTTCTGCTCCTCCGTACCCAATCGATCTGTCTTGTCCTCCCTAGACACCCAGTCTTCCTCTCAAGATTCAGCTCAGCTTCCATCTGTCAAAGGCCCTTGCAGGGGGCTTGTCCGACGGGCGTGTCGATTCCAAGGGGGCGTGCTTCGCCAAGCAACACAAGCTTGAGATTAGTCGGCATGTCTTGGATCAGAGATCCTTTGGCTGCGGCTTGCTACGGGTAGGACGAGTAATACTACATACATGTCAAGGATGGGCATTGTGTCCCGTGATTTGCTCGTTGGCATCCCGCGTCCTTGAATGAGCAGTGCTACTCTGACTGAGACACGCAGGCGCAAGTCAGCACAAATGCAGCCCAAGAAAAGGACGACTTCATCAACTCAGTTGCGTCAATTGTCTCGCCCAGTCGGGCACGACCCGGGTTGTCGGGACGCCTCTCGTCGGACCTGGCCCTAGGCTGGCCGCTGGACGGGGATTTTCCACCCCTTGTTGGGGCTTGGTAGCTGACATGCTGTTATGTTTCTGGTCGATGGGTGGCCGCAATGGCAAGCTGGAGAGCAATCTGTCTGTTGGCGTTGAAACCTCGGTCATCCCCGTGTAACGGGCTAGCTGCCCAGTTATTGGGCCTTACCAGCACGGCAAGACAGCCGGTCATCAAGCGCCGTCATATACATTGACTTTTAGCCATGGTCTGGTCTGACGGCCCTCAGCAAACGCCGTGATCCGTTGGCCGATGAGCGTGTCTCCTTGCCCACTGATCGCAGAAGCAGAGCAATTACACGTGCTCTATTGGAGAGAATGCCGTCTCAACAAAGCCCCTGTCCGCTTCGGTCATGCGTCATTATTCAGCGCCTTTGGTTGTGGCTGGTCCAAGTCCTACTCCAAGTGGTATTAACAGACAGCGAAGCGTCTCAGACACCCTCCTCATTCATGCAAAATTCCCGGGCTGTTGTTGTCATGCGGTGGCTTGCCGTTTCTATTTTGCGCCCTGCTTCCAATGCGCGTTCGCCTGGCGGTGAAGAGGCAGAGTGGCAGTTGAGACTTTATGCATGAAAATACCACGCTCGTCACATCCGGCGGCATTTCCTAGCCGTCTGATAGGCGTGTGCAGGCCGGAGGACGTGCTTCTTCACATGTCGAGTACCGGCTCGCCAATGCCTTGCAGACGGGTTGCGTTCCGACAAGGCGATGCTCCATGTTCCAGAAGATAGGCATGAGCCTCGTTGACAGGATTCCGTTTTAGCGGAGAAAAGCAGGAGTCCCGACTCGCGCCGCCAAGCCCAAACCATCGGCGAGTCCATCCACTAACCAAGTGAAGATGGGAATCCACCGTGTTTCGTGTATGTGGTCTCTGGCGGAGCGCACGTCAACTCACCTTTCTGTTTCCATCCTGGTCGAGTCTGGACTTTGGACTTCACATTACGATTTTCGTCCAATCGCACAGCATCTACACGTCTGTTGGCTTGCGGCTTCCTGAGGGCACGAGTTAGAGTGCTACGGCGAGCAAAGAGCGGGCCATTGATGTCGCCAGTTCGATGTCTTTCGCTCTTTTCAGACCCCGTCCGAAGGGGGTCGGTCCCCCCTGGCCTGTCCTCCAACAAAGCCTCTTTTCCGCCGTGCCGGATGACCAGGGGTGACCACACGCAGATCCCCAAGTCCAAATCGACAATCCAAAGCCTTGCAGACTAGTGGCAGCCTACCGACTGTATCGCCCCAAGTTTTCTTCCTAGCTAGGGCCGACCAACGCAAGGTACCAGAATACGACATTATGCCCAGCACCCCGGGTCATACATACCAAGCGCATGTCTTGGCCGATGTGGCTGTCGTCAGTCGCCATGGACAAGCAGCCCTGCTCTGCGTTTATGACTTGCCGCGCATTTGTCTGGACCCCTACGAGGCAGACGGAACACTGGAACTGCATACTGCTGACGGCCCTCTTGTTCCTGTGCTTCGTCCTCCCACACTCGCCCACCGGCGAACTGGTGTGATAGTACTCCCTCAGGGGAGCGAATAGTACACACCTGTACTTGGATCTGGGCATTCTGGCCTCCTTTTTTCGCCGTCACCATTCTGTTTTCCACCTTGTTCTTCTCCCTCTACCTCTCTGTCCCTCTCCCCTTCTCCCATTAGCGTGGATCTCGGAGTAGACGGGCTTTGGCAACTATCACTAGTTACCCCCCTCGGTATAAGACCCGATGATTCCTCCAACGCCAGTCACCCGTCAGTCTCCAACAAGGCTCCATCGATTTTAGTGATCTAGTACATAGTACTGCTGCTAGTTTCTCGGTCGAGTCCCCGCTGTTGCTGTTTGGATTCCAGCCGAGTTTGCATCCTCACCAGCGGCGTCAGCTATTACAGTGCCCACGACTCTAGTCACACTTCACACGCCCCCATCCACCATCCGATTGGCAAAGGTCTCTGCCCTCACCATCTCTCATTTGGCCTAGGCCTCCCTGTCTCAACCCGTTGGATTTCTGGTGCCATTTCTCTTGGGAGCCCACTCTGTCAGATTTGGAAAGGGTAAGCATCTAATATTGCAAAGAGGATAACAGGCCCTCTTCCCCAAATCTCGCTCACGGATCTCCCACTCTGAACCGTCACAACTTGACTCCAACCCTTTCGCTTCCCGACAACGTGCCGTTGCTTTACCTACCGCTCACGCTCTTTTACACAGGCATCCGGACACACACAGACCAGGTCGACCTGGTGGAACCTACGCCTCTCTGGTGCCCTGTCCCTGACGTACTGCCGTTCGGGGCATGATGAACTAATAGACAAGTTGGCTCCGCCAAATCCAAGCCCGCCATTGAGAATTCGCGAATTTGCCCAGAGGGTAACCGTCTTTGTATTCGTTACGTTACAACACTTCGTCGAGCCGAGAAAAAAATCTCAGACACACATTCGTTTCTTGTTGCTGGAGGAATCGGTCTCGAGGCTGGTCTGACCTTGCCAACAGGATATGACCTCGACCTCTCGACTTGTTCACCTAGAGCGCTTCTTCTCGTCTTTTTGGACTGAAGGTTTTAATAGCTTCCAGTCCACAAGTTTCATGATCGTCGTATGAACGGATTTGGCTCTCACGCCCACACACTCGCTCAATAGCTGTCCACGGACAAGACAAGAATCATCGATTCGCACTGCTCGTTTCATCTGCCCCAACGTGGTCTTGAACACTGTCACTCGTTTATACCCGGCCAGCAGTACGCCAAGGAGTTGGCCATCTTGATCCTCTCAGCACACTCGTCTCCAACAACAACACCTCCTCAGCGGACCGAGAGGATTCAGTAAGAGAGGGTTCGTACGACAAAGCCCATCGGGGCATGGACAACCCCAACCAACATAGAAGGCAGAATGACCCGCCTACCCATCACACTCCTGCACACAGATACTCGGCCCAAGGTCCTGTAGGCGGTTCTTCTGACCGCTATCGGACAGCGCCCCTTGCACCTACTTCAGCACAGAGAGGATTGGGCGGTGCGCCAGCCTACAGCACGTACTACCAAGAACCTACGGCCGCATTCTCGACGCCGACAAACATGCCATCGACGGCAATGGCGTACGGCTCGGAATACGGCGCCGATTCGAGACCACAAACTCAGAGTTTCGGGGGCTACAACGCGGGTATGATGATGTACAACGTGCCTCAGCCGAACGCGCAAACTCCAGTCTACGACGCCCAACACTTTGGGCAACGGCAGCAGGCAGCAATGCAGATGATGGCACCGGATGTCACATCAACATACTTCAGCTCCGAAGCAGGGAGCGCAGCAGCAGCGAGCATGCAACACCCGAGCCAGGGGAGCAGCGCATCGGCCGGGGTATATCAGCAGAGCCAACCCATGAGCTACGCTGGCAGCATGCCTGCCGCAGGCGCCATGCAGCAGACTTCGGGAGCAGCGGATTCCACCATGGGGGAAGGGCAAGATTACGCTTCCTCCGGGCTGCAGGAGAAGTGGCAAAACTACCAACGACAGCTGGGCTCCGTGTTTCAGGACATTTCCTCCACCTCTCTCGAGAGGGCTGCCGAAACGCTACTTCACATCTCCAATTGGTTGCTCACGCAAGTGGCAGAACTAGGTATGAAGAGCAAGGAAACCGTTCAGCATGACAGATTACTTACATGCGAGAGACAGGACTCAGCCAAGATGACGCCAGCCTTCACGCCGAGAGAATCAAACTCTGGAATGACTTTAACCACGCCTGGTTAGCTCTTTGCTTCCGGCAGAAAGAAGTCATGTCGTCCGGCCAGCAGTTGTCGAGATCCCAGGCGGTCATGTCCCAGGAAACGATCAAGAAGCTGGGTGACGAGCTCATTCGCCTATGCGATGGTATCGAGAGCCATGGTCTGGTAGATTATCAGTACGGCGTGTGGGAGGATCGAATCGAGACAAGTATGTTCTTTGCTGCCCTCCCCTTTGCTCTGAGTTATACCCAGAGGCTATTCTAACTAGCCGCCCAGTCCTCGAAGAATGCCTCGATCTCTACGACTCCCTTGAAGCGGCCGTCGGTACGAGTGGAGGGTCTCGCTGATCTGTCCGTACTCTGCATCACGATGACGATGACGACGACGCGGAATATATCTACGCACGTGAATGATAAGATGCTGGTTAGTATAATGCTAGCACGAAAGTTGGCTCGGTGCTCTTTTCTACATTCTCTTTTCTGCTCCCCACCTTCTGTCTCTTCTTTCCAAGCTGCCCTCGCATTTGCGGCGGGCTGAGGAATTGTACAATACACAACGGGAACGTTCGGCGCGGCCTCTACAATAGCGCGGATATAAATGTCGGCCGGGTTAGGCCCCGGGAAAACAACATGGGGGAGGAGTTTCATTACTGGGTCTCACGGGTTACTGGACGGATGGACGGATGGACTGTCGGACAGACGGATGGATGGATGGGAATTTGGGGTTCTTGATTTTTCTTCTTTGGTGCGGGATGGACGCATATGTCTTGCGTCTGCTTGCGACCTGCAGAGCGCAAGGGGGATGGTGAAGCCAGCGTATCAAGTGATATGTTTGCATACTTCCATGGCTGTGTCTTGAAGAGAGACCGGCTTATGAAGGAGGGGAGCCAATGGCAAATTCGCATGCCACACGGACACAAACATCAACGGGGCACCGGCAAACATGACGAGGCAACAAACACGGGCATAACAGCGGCTGACAGGGCGAGCGTCCTTCTGGCGAATTGGTACGACGGGACGGGAGTTGGAATGGGAATCTTGGTGGGCATCATGGGCAGGACAGCCGCGGGAGCGGATAAAGGGGCCTTGAGGCGGCGTTGAATGCTTGGAAAACTCAGGCAGAATGTAAGATGGGCGATTGATTTTGCCTTTTTCGTTTTTCTACCTTGCTTTGCCCCTTGCCCTCTTCCCCCCTGCTTTTATCTTTCCTTGTTTCATTTACAAGTTGTTCTCTTTTCTTAATCTGCCGTCACCTCGACTTGAACAGTAATGGGGGGGTCGTGCAGCATCTTCACCAAAAGTCGGATTTTCCTTTCTTCTCTTTCTTCTTACTTCTTTTTTCCCCTTCTGTTCATGTATACTTTGTGTATCATGTGGCTTTAGACACTTGTTTAGAATATAGCGGGTTTGAGCCCTCGAGGGCAGCATCAACCGGCTGGGTGTGGGATGGGAAGACGTCAGGTAGATAGCAAATGGTCTAGACGCAAACAGTCCAGACGGTGGACTCTAGGGAGCTGGATTGGGCACAGATAATGAGACACAAGGCCTTGTGAATTGGGAGTCCCATGTGATTTGCTTGCAACACTCGTGACGTACGTGATGGAGTCTCTGTTTGACAACTGTAACCGGGGGCGACGATGCGATGATTATGGCTGCTGAGATCTGACTGACGTCGGAGCAAAGTCTGCCGCCGCCCAGTGGCAGGGTAACACCTGTGAGCGGGAGGTTATCCTGGAGAGTCCCCTTCCTTGTCGCGATGCAGCCTCCCTCCGGGATAGTAGGCCGGGGGCCGCCGTGCAATCGCGTGGATGCGTCAAGATTGACTGCTAGCCAATGCCGATGGGCGTAGAGAGTACATCGAGGGAAAATTCTCGTCATCGCATGTAGACGTCGTATAAGTGTCTCACTCTGGGTTACATGCAACCCATCAGACCCTTTATCGCCTTGCCCTTTGCCAAGGCTACATGTAGGCCGCAATGCTCGTTCATATGCCAAATGCCGAGGAGAGAGAGGGAGGCCATTCTCTTAACTCGCCGTGAGAACCAGCCAATTTAGAATACATTCATGGGATGCTTTCCCCTCTCTCTCTCTTTTGATATGATGCAGCAAGTTATTCGTTTCGCTTCGGTGCCATGGACACAGGAGCGTTCATCCCTGAAGCCCGCCCAAATCCGCATCCCGGAGCCGTTGCCGTGATGAAAGTTTGCTCACAAAGTCAATTCCCGATCGTCGTAGATCAATTTGAATCTGGAGTGCATGTGACAACTTCTTCCTGTGGAGTTTGGCGGAGCAAGGGATCCGTGTCTTGGCCACGCAATGCCAGTTGTAGGTTAAAGAGGACGATGCCCCAGATGCAGGTCCAGCTGCAGCTCGTGGTAGTAGGAGTACTACCGAATAGCGGGCAGTCTGTGGAGGGGCGGAGAGACGGTATGTAGCACTGCCTCCGGATGGCTGTAGCTCTTTGAGGCTCGGTCTTGATGCGGAGTTGCCTGTGCCGGATCAGGTGTGCATAGATTACTTGCCCGGGACAGGTAACTGGGGTAGACGTAGAAGAGTATGACAATGATTTTGGGCTGGGGGGGTTTGAGAGGAACTGACAACGCTGGCGATGATGACAGCCTCGTTGACGACGAGCAGCAGCAGGCAGAGGTTGAAGTGTTTGAGCTTAGGTAGGGGATGGAAACATGATTGGGAGGGAGAGAATGCATGGAGAGAAAGAAGAGGCATTCGTCATCATGCCCAGAGATACAAGCCGGCATGGTCCGTACAGCATCGTGCCC